TGAACGAACAGTTGGCAGCATGAAAAGAACCAGAAAAGTCACTAAAATTGCGGCTAGCTGCAAGAAATTTTAGGTTTGGAACTATAGCCGGCAAGTGCAATAAAAGTTGCCGGTAACTCGCGAACCGATAAAATGGGCAAGCGTAGAACGAAATATTGCGTGCAAGAAAGTTGCGGGCCATAGAAATTGCCAACTGTAAAACGACCTTTAGCCAAAAATCGGTCATAACCAGGGGCGGATCCAGGCTTTCGAGTCAGGGGGAGGTCAGGTGTAGAAATTCAGTCTTTTATTGTGTACGAAATTAGAAAAATTATCGTTAGTCGTTATAAACCCAGCACAAAAGGGGAGGTCATGACCCCCATGACCGCCTCTCCTGGATCCGCCCTTGGCTATAACCATATTGCACAGGCATAAATTTCATCCATACCATATCACACTCCCACCAAGAACTCTGTGGACAAGACTTTCAAAACCGCGTTACGTTTTGCAATTGGGTCACGGGACAAAGAGAGGATAATTTTATTTTAAAAAACAATGGTTTTCTGATAGAGTCACATTTTCCAACTGCGGGCAAGGAAATTGCAGATAACATTTACGATGCCGAAAGAAATTTGTAGAGTATTTTTTTAAAGGTAAACTATCACCACTGGGCGGCGCAAAAGCCTTACTGGATCAGAACTGTGCCGAACCAACGTCCCTGGCCGCTTAATGTTTGGTGTGGTATAATTGGAATACGGCATTTAAATGGAAATATGTACACCAACTTTTTAAGAAACAGCTCAAGACAGTTATTGAACCAGAACATGAATGTGTGGTTTCGGAATAATGGGGTGGAGGCCCGTAGTCATTTAGAGGAAATAATTCCCAACAGATGGATTGGTCGCGGTGGTCCGGTCAACCGGCCTGTGCGATCGCCAGATCTGACGCTGCTTGATTTTTTTGTGGGGTTTTATAAAAGATAAAGTGACGGCCACTACACCCACCATCTGAGATGATATGGAGAAGAGAAGTCGCTCTGCCTGCTTGTTAGTGACACCTTAAACGTTAGCGCGAGTGGAAATTAAAAAAAAAAGAGCAGACTTTTAGGAAAAGAAATAAAAAAGTTGGCAAATAACTTGTAGTAATTAAAAAAATTATGTCGAGAAAAGTGCACACAAAAAAGTTCTCAGCAAAACAAAAGTACGGGTTCCACATTTCTACCCTGTATAAAAGCAAACTGAACCATGAAACACTATCATAAAATGGCACTTAATTAGCTTATAACGCATTCCAAAATTTAAGTTTCTATGATTAACCGTTTTAAAGGAAGACAACAAGAATCCAATCCAATAACTCAACAACGAAAAACCAAATTAAGCAGAATCTCGGAAAGACTCCCTCTAAAATAGAAGAAGACGCTGTTAAAATATTTTAACATATTTAAGGAAGACCTTGTATATCAGAAACTGTAAGATGTAAGTAACAAAACTAGGCTCAAACTCGCATTTGGAAAGTCAATCCAACTATGCTAAAAAATAGGGATTTGCATTTAAAATACAGCATACATGTAACTACCGCTTGAGAGCTAAAAGTATGTATTTTACATGGTTTGGGCAGGACTAGTAATAACTGGAAACAAAATATCAAGTGTCACTTACAACTGTAAGTTGGAAAACTTCTAACGCACGCTCTAACTAAATCACCCTGTAAACAAATTAATAAATAAAATCGACATTTCTAACAAAGATATTACATTTAAATCTGATTTCGACAATTACTGCACAAGAACACAAACTCTTAATATTAATTATTAAATCACTACTCAGGGAATCCTTAAATGAAACAAATATTGTATTGGATAATTTTCATTATAAAACAAAGCTTTAAAAATTAGTAATTTAAGGAACATTCCAAAATTTGGGGATATGCTATCAAAACATAACTACGATAGCCACACAAGATGAGACATTTCCGTTTGGGAAACAAAAGATAATTGAATTTTGCAGCATTCATTCAAAATTACTTTAAAATATTTCATTTGTTCAACGAATTGTTTGTTTCGAGTTGTAATTTCTGCTTCTCAAAGTATTGAAGTATTTTCAATCACAATTAGTTTGTGAATAAGAAATTAAGTGATGTTCGAAATGGAGTATAAAACACAAATTTGGAGAACATTTGATGAATTATATGAATATTGTAAAATATTACTTTAATGCTATTGTAGTTGAATTAGAAAATTCGATAATAAACACTGATCGAGATAAGTAATACTGACTTTTCCAGAATATTCTTGGAAGGTTTAATGATCATTGTCTGAACAGCGAGTGAATTATGGCCTTAAATGGATGTATTTGCTATATTATATTAGAACATTGCTATTTGAAAAAATAGAACCGATTTCGTGAGGCCTGTGAATTATTTTAATACTTATACATATCAGAGTACACCAGAGTAGCACTATTATTAAATAAAATTAACAACTTCTAATAAATAATAAACTAGGGCTCGTAATCAAACTCGAATAATTCGAGTATTCGAATATTCGAATATTCAAAAAGCGAATAATTATGTGTAGTCATAACTCGAATATTCGAATATTCGAATACTCGAATATTCGAATATCCGAATATTCGAATACTCGAATACTCGAACAATCGAATACTCGAATACACCAACATTATCAAATTCACAAGCTGCAAATATCTTTATATGCACTTATATGTACTTACTGTATACTTTTATAAAATAAATGATTCATATTCTACAAGCATTTAAACAAATACCCATACATTTACAAGCAAATATATATATATATATAATCACCAGCACTGTCATATTTGCTTATTTGAGTTCTTAATCGAAATAAATTCCAACTTATGTTAATCACAATAATTTCCTTGGCAATATAATTGTAACCTCAAACGAAAACAAACCAAACAAACAAACTTTGCATTTTTTACGTATAGTGAATAGTTAATACGCTTGATCGATTTGTCTAAATGTGACGTTTAACATTGCACACTGAAAAGCGGAGTACTAAAATTATAGCTGCAAGAAAATAGCCGCAAGAAAGTTGCGGGCAATAAACTTGCCGACTGTAAAACGGCCTTTAGTCCAGCATCTCTAGCAAGAGCGAGCATTTGCGGGTCAAAAACGACCTCTCGTCCACCAGATTTTCGTTTCTTGCAGTGCATGTCCGTCTTTGCGTTTTTTTTTCTTAAACTGCCAGGAATGCGACCTCTTGACGAATTTCTGTGACATTCACGCGTACGAATAGAATACAACATACCTACTGTTGTCAGCAAACATTTGCATAAAACCAATTTACATTTCCAATTTATATAATGCAATCGCGTCATTTTATTTTTTTTACAGTTTTGAACCTTTTAAATTTAAAACTTTGTTCGTTTCCTTGCTATACTAGTTTTATGTAAAACCGAATTTTTTTACAGTTAGCAATAATATTTCTATTCAATTAACCAGAACAGTTAGTACATTTTGTGTCTCTTGTTCTGCCCTTTAAGGGTGATTATTTATTTGCAAATTAATGAATACTTTTGTTGGTGATAACTTGATATAGGATAATAAATTGAGTGGTGATTAAAAAT